AGATATCAATTTCGTTAGAAAACACTTAATTTTGTTTTGCAAAAATAGTTGCAAGTGAACCAACATCAACACCGATCGTGCGGAGCTCTTTCACGCACCTTGCAGCGCGTAAATAATCTGAAATTCAATTTGGAACCGTTTAAGCACTGTGGAGCGAAAATTTCAAATTTTGCATCAGTCTAGCGCTCATATAGTGCCATTGGGACGGTACTAATGGATATTTTTGGTCGCTAATGAAAATTTAGTCGATTGCTGAATTTATGTATGGGCCCATATTAGGGGCATTTAGGCCGACATTACATCCATTTCCCCTATTTATTTTTCATGCACTGGGTGTCCAAGTGTAGATTCAATTATTGTTACGTTGTTGTTTACAAACTTTTATTTGTAACCAAGTTGGATAGAACAATATTCGCATGACAATATCACGGAACATCACGGACTCCTGGAGCTGTTCCGGTTTTGCTTCCCATCGACACACTCGTCTAGGAAACGGATCAGACAATAAAAAGAACAGGATCGTTCCTTTGTTCTCGAGTATTGCTATCTCATTTGGGTATTGAAACTCGCTTTTCTAGATTTTATTATGCTGTAGAATATCACCTTGTTCTTTTACAGAATTTTTTCATAAATTGGTTCTAGACCAGTACAGCATGCCTTGAAATCGGATCAGCCGGTTTCAGTTTTTGAAAACGGATTTCATCGAACATCTTTCCTAATCTTGTTTGACAACTTACTAGGTAAGCCACCTTCAATCTGATCGATCCCCTTTGTTCGTTGCACACATCTTCACCTTGTTCCAGTCGGGTCGTTACCAAGAACCATTTTCATTGGGTCGTTATCCGACATTGTTACGATATTCCCAGTCCACCGTAGTCGCCCGATTTTCGCATTCGATGTAAATTTATCAACTTATAAACCTGCTGCAATGCTACTTAATGATTCAATTTTTTTCTACAGTGATTCAAAAATTTCCAAGCTCAATCCAATATTTTCAAAATTGCTTTAGAATTAAGACCAAATCAGAAACAAATCAGGAAATTCCTAATTGAGGTAACACTTTTCAAAGCAGATTCAAAACTGAGTCTGAACTTTTTTGAAGTGAGTTCTAACTTTCGAATAGGTCAGCATCATTTTTTAACTGAGTCTAATCGTTTCTGTTATGTTATTCAATCCTTTTTAAAGTTGTCAACATTTTCCTGAAGTTATCCAACATATCCTAAAGAATTGGTGTCGAACTTTCTGGAGTGAGACCAAATTAGCTGATTTAATCCCTTTCCTAAATTAATCCAAGGATTCCTGCATTGATCAAATTATTTCCGAACTGAATCCAAACTTGTCAGAGCGGTTTTGACATTTTCCTAAGTGAGCCCCATATGTTTGTTAACTGCTTCGGCATTTGGCAAGGACACAATCTTGTTTATGTCATCTACCTTTCCTAAAAGTGCAGTATGTTTTCCGAAGTGAACCGACACTTTTTTGATCCTAAATTTTACAAACGGAGTCCAACCTTTTCTGAAGTGGTTCATACCTAGTGCAAACTTTTCTGTTCAGTGATTGAATTATATTTAATGTTAGTCTGAGCTTTCCTGAAGTGATTTCACTAGCTTTTACCGTACACACAACGAAAAAGTCATGTAAATTTCAGTTCCCTGAGACCGATACATGTAAGCGACTCTTTTGACATAAGAATCATTTGAAAGAAACGAGAAAATCAATAAGGTGATCCAAGACAACCTGGTCTATACAAGGTGTGGAGATCTAGCCTTGACGTATGTGTTGGTAGAGGGAAAAATGTAAACTTTGTGGGAGACGATGGTGACGGCGTCATAACACTCGAAAGCAATTTTGCGAAATAAGTAGGAAAACAAATCCTAGCTATTTTTGCATGATGATACATTCAGGCCTATAATTCCACACCTTGTATATAGGGTATACGTCCCTAACCTCGGTCTAATATGCAGCCATAGATTACGTTTTTAATCATAACTCATCAATTAATTTACCTGCAAACGATATTCTACTGCTAAATGGTATGCTTAGATATGCTTATCATGTCGTTTGCTATCAGGAACCGCAAAAAGTTGAAAAACTTACTTTTTTTAAGACAAAAACTCACCAGGGAAATGTATGTAATATCGGTCTATTGTCCCCAAATTGGGTCTATTTATGGATGCAACTTCGTCCTATCCTGTTTGATTCTCAAAAAAAACGCTCTTGGTAACGTTTTCTTATGTATTTTTTTTTATCACTATCACTGTTAACTTAATACTCTTCATTCCTCAAAACATTTCTTAGAGAAAATTTTACGAAAACTACATTAAATCACTCAAGTTAAAAATTAAAAATTAAAAATTTCGCTTATCGTCTTTCGACCGCAGAATATCTAAATCAAAACATTGTGATGTTCATTATACAGATTTGGCAGAAAAAATCTCCCTTCCTGTTCGTTCCTTATCATCCAAATGCAAACCACATTGTTGACGTTACTCTTATTGCTATATGCTGTCAAATGAATTTCATGGGCCAAAGTTAGGAACATAGAAAAGAAATGTGTCCCTAAAGTTGGGTCCATGATTTACTTGTGAAAACGTTGTTAAACAATTAAAATAAACATAAAATATTCAAACAGTAACTGTGAGTTTTACGTCTAGTGTGTATTATCAGGTAATTCCATTCAATAAATGCCATAATCAGGCCATTTGATGATCGTCAGTGCAACCTTCCCATCTTAACCTTAGAAGTCATGGCGGCTAAAAACTCCGAACAGAGTGATATTCTCAACCAGTTTTATTACTTACGAGAGCTGAAAATGTATTGAAATGTTGTGATATAAATTGATTTGTGTGTGGTACACATTTATCAATCATCAGTGATCAATATTTTCCTTATTTTTTGTGTAATATTCCTTAATTAATTATTTATTTGCGTGATAGGCCGAATGAAAGGACTAGACCCACATTACATACCGTAACCCTACCAGGTTAGATCCAAGAGACGTTTCTCAGTGGAACTGACAACTAGAAATCAAGTGTGTGTGTGAGTGATCTGGTGATGATGGTGCTGAATGTAAACACAAACAAAGCAGAAATTTATATGAGAATAATCTGCCAGTTCTACTGTGATCTGTCAAAAGTTTTTGGTAAACAAAAAAGTCAGCTGATCGCAACTGTCTCGTGGACCAGCGTTATTCAATCAAACGTTCTCTTCGTCTACTTGGTTATATTTCGGTTTGAGAACACTTAATTTCAATTGAAATGCTTATTTACGTTCCATGATTTACGTCCAATATAGATTACGTCTCGTGTAAAAGTAGTTATTTCTAAGTGTGTGGATTCCGATCATCTAGACCCCTTCCTCGTTCTTGTGAGATTCACATCTTTTAAAAATTATTCTGAGATTTTAAAGAATGAACCTTCGTGTGTTCATACCTGATGGAAGATTTTTTTTAAGTAAGTACAATTGTTGAAAAAACTGGGCTTACATCTACAAATTTACGTATTTTTTTTATAGAAATTTGGGTTTCTTGATCAGCCAAGTTGGCTGAGTTCATACGTGATGGTAGATTTTTTTGAAGCCAGGTTGGATTTCGGTTCTATCGGTTGATATGTGTGCTTGGATTTTGTAGAATGGAACTTGCTGAATCCATACGTGAAGGACTAACCTGGTAAATCGTCACAAAAGTTGGTATTTTTATTGAAATTTGATTTTTCTGTTTTGCCGAACTGAATTTTGGCTCCTATCTTTGAACACTAGGCTTGTATTTTATAGAATAAAATTTGCTGAATCCATACGTGAGGGTTGAATTTCTCAATTTTTTAGGAAACCGAGTTTAAATTCACAAAACTACGTATTTTCATAGACACTTGGATTTTCTGTTCTGCCAAGTTGAATTTCAGCTCCGATCTTTGAAAAATAGTTTTGGATTTTATAGAATGGACCTTGCTGAATCCAAACGTGATGGTACATTTTAAGAAGCATGCTCATTTTTTTTTAGAAAACTGTGTTTAAATTCTCAAAAGTACGTATTTTCATAGAAATTTGGGTTTCCTGTTCAGACAAGTTGAATTTCGGCTCCTTCCTTTGAAAAATATGCGTGGATTCAATAGAACTGCTATATCCATACGTACTTTAATAGAAATTTGATTTGTCTGTACTGCTGAACTCAATTTCGGCTGCTATCTTTGAAAAAAAAAGGTTGTATTCTATAGAATGGACCTTGCTGAATCCATACGTAAAGTTTGAACTGGGTTTGCAATTCGTAAAGTAGGGTAGATGTACCAATTATGGCTATAGTTTGTCAGCCGAAATCAATTATTTAGTTCAATTGTTTACATGATTTCATATGACTCCATATATTATACCAAATAGTAAAGCTTTAAGATTAATTATTGAGATAAACCTATCAAATGTAAAGAATAGATGGATAAAACTTAATTATAATTAAGATAATGATGCTTATGCAGAGCACCCATTATGGCCATATGGTCACTTTTCTTCGCCATATATATGTTTCTATTATGGTTATACTCAGGTTTTCCATTGAAATAAATCATACTGAATAATAAATTATGCTGAATTATGGGCAAAAATCGAATTCATTTGATTATATGATATTGGTTACAATTAAATATACATTAAAAAAAATTGTATATTGTTGTAGAGTAGGCTGAAATTATCATTTTTTACACCCTATTATCGACCATGGAAGCAACCATTTCATGATGAGTGGACAAGTGAAGACCATGATTTGCGTCCTTTTTTCGATAGAAGCGCGATGCCCCCCTTTAGTGGCAAAGCCATAACTAATCTAATGGAGGAATCATATTGCATAGCGGAAGAAAATGTGTTTATTGTCTTGTTCTTCTTGTATTACATAACAATCAAGAAACCTCGGCTCTGTAAAGTTCATTAGTTTGAGCCTGATAAAAAAATCTTTATTTTGGTTTATATCGTATATGTATGTTTGTAATTAATTAACCATTTCAACAAAAGGAACATCAATTTTTAGTTTTCCGAGTTGGTTTCTTCGTTTTAGGCTCCTTCTTCTTTCGCTCACGTTCCTCCATTCTAGCTATCTTTTCTTCTTCTTTTCTCATCTTTGCGTCTTTTCGATCAAGTGCCTTCCTTTTCTTTGTCTGTTCAATCTCCTTTTTATCTGCTTCTTTCTTCCGAATCGCTTCTAGACGTTCCCCAGCTGTGAGAACGGGGGTGTACTGTATTGAGTAATTCCGATGTTTTGCATTTCGACGAGGTGTGGGTGGAAGTCTTAGTATATCGGATAGCCTACGCTCAGGAGCGGTACAGCCTAGCGTCGTTGAATTAATTTGAAGATTACCCGATTCTATAGAGTTTTCTGTTGCATCTAAAGAATAAAATAATTATAAACAAAAAACATACATAATGCTCTTATACTGGGAGTCACTTTTACCTCTGAAAATGATCTCTTGCAGAAAAGTATCAGCTTGTGGTTTTACTGAAACAGATACAGTTGAATCGTTCATATCATTATCGGGAATAACATCTAGTGATAGAAATAATATTAGTCTTAATAAATTTTGCATTTTTCAAAAACTTGTACTCACTATCATTGATGCCATCCGATGTATGCTCAACAGTCGCATTTTCCATGGGATTGCATTGTGCAGTCCATTGTAACCTCTGGTATATGCATGTCTTCTTCATTGGGTTCAGCCGGTACAGCACTTAACTCAATCAAAATAGATCCATCATAGCGTTCATAGCAGGGGTCCAAATTATCAATGTTTATAATCTGACATTCGTTAGAACCAGTATCTGCAGGTATTGAAGGTGAAAAACTAGGATCTTGAAGTAACTCGATATTCTGTGTCCCATCAAGATCAAGCTGCATCGAAGACGAGTTACGATTTCTTTGCAAAGTGGATAAGTCATCGAATTTAACGTAAGGCCGAACAAATTCTCGATAGAAAAAACGAATAACGCGTTCTTCTCGTGTGAGTCTATTAACATCGCCTTCAATTTTTCCCATTGTTTCGCTACCAATCAAGTCATAAGCTTCAATAATTTTATCAATGTGGATGCGCACATAGTCAGAAGATAGTGCAAATTGATTCATAGCTTCAGTCAAAATCGGCAACGGTTGTGGACTTCCCATTTGATTCGATAGGTGTTCTGATAGGAACGGCGAGAGGAGCGGTTCGTTTGTTGCTTGTGGTAAAACAGGTTCTTGAAGAGAACTCGATAACAATCCATTGGGCAAAGACGGGGTTTTCGCTATGCACTTGGTATAGTCAACTGAATTTGCATCAAAGGGCTGCAGACCACATGCTCGAAAGCCATTCTGAATTGTAGTGCTTTTGATTGCCCTTTCAACTGTTGTGTTCAGAACCCCACCGAAGTGCCGCAATGTAAGTGACTCACCCTGATGTTTTAATCTCCATTCTTCAACCACTTTTCTCCATTCGCTTTTCAGCGGTTGCGTAATATGCGTCGTGTTTGGATACAGAGAAATAAGCACGATTCCTAAAGACTGGCATATATCCGCTACTTCCACCGCTTTGTGTGAAGAATGACCATCGACGAAGTAAATTATTGGAAACTTTACACCTTGTCTCACGAGGAATGGATGGAAAATTTTTAGGATGTATTCACGGAAGTTGTGCGTGTCCATCCATCCACGTTCACTCTGACCCAGGCCCCAATCAGATGGAAAACCTTGTGCCACTTCTTTTCGGATGCGCTTTCCCGGAATAATGACGTGAGGACTTACGACAACTCCAGATGCTCCGAAGGAAAACATCACAGTGACATTTTGCTTTCCAGCTGCCTGTTCAATTTCATAAACATTGCGGGATCCTGTCCGCGCAATAACCTCCTTTGTACTGGGGTGAAGGTAAAACGATGTTTCATCATCATTGAACACTCGTGTCGGATCCTCCAGTACTTCACGCAATTCATTCTTCATCAACCAGTTGTCCACTGTCTCAAACCAACCCCGAATATCATTTTCGGTGACTCGCCCACTTGCGGTTGACACTTGTTCCGGTGTTCGGAGAGAAAATCCTGGATTACGTCGCAAAAAAGCCTTGAACCATTTTCGTCCTAGAACAATTAAATTTTCCTATTTTGGTATTCATTGGTCTAATTTCTAATAAAAAGATAAAAATATACCTGGTCGATTATTCTTGAATGGGTTCTCCCGTGAATTCGCTGACAGAAACTCTGCTATTTTAAAGATCAGCGCTTCACGTGTAACAGGAAATCCGCGGTCCTGCATCCCACAAAGCCATGTGACAACTTTATTTTCTTCCTCTGTTGATAGCACCGAGTGTGGTCCAGGCTTGAATTTTTGTTGCCATTGGCCACTTAGTCTGTATCGAATGGTGGAGATGGGTATCCCGAACTCTTTGCATCCGGCATAAACTGATTTTCCAGCTTTTATGCTTCGGATGCATGATGTGATAGCCTCTTCGGAGTATTGTTTACATGCTGATTTTTTCGCCATTCTACATGAAGTACAATTGTCTATAATTATGCTTATTAGTGTGTAAAATTTGTGTTTATTCATACCTGAGATGAGAAATCCTGAGCAAAAAGTAGAAATCACTGAGAAATCAACTAAACACTTGCTTTTCCAAGTACAACGCTCATGTAAATATGGAGCTATGGCCAAAAGTGACAGATCGCAGTAGGTACTTTCGCTTGTAGCGATAATGGGTACACCAAATGAAAAATGTGTGATACTCGAAAATTATAGTTTTTCGACATATTTCAAATATTTTACTTGCTAACATGAACAACGAGCACGTGCATGAAAAGTCTACGCTAGTAAAATGTTAAAAAAGGCTTATTGTTTTAGAAAAAAATCAATATTTCATTTGCATGTTTCGTAGCCATCGGATAACAAAAATTACTTTTGCAAGCATGCATATTTTCAAACTCGCTTATCTCGGGTTGTAATGTCCTGAACATATATTTTTATATAATTAAAGTGTACAGGCATGTCTGAAAATACACTGGTAAGCATTAATCGAATGATCATGTGAAGTTTTTTCCAGATAATTTATAAAATGTCTTAACTATAGCCATAATTGGTACTATAGCTATAACTGGTTCATCTACCCTATTTGTTTAGAAACTTGGGTTTCCCTTTCTGCTAAGTTTTATTTTGATACCGTCCTTTGAACGTTATGCTTGAATTTTCTAGAATGAACCTTGCTTAATTCATACGTGATGATTTTTTTTAAGCACACACATAGCCATTTTTAAATTGACAAAAGTACGTATTTTTGTTAAAATTTGGCCAAAACAGCATAAACAGCCAAGATATATTTTGGCTCCTTCCTTTGAATATTACGCTTGGATTTTGTTGAACAGGCCTTCCAGAACCTATACGTCTTGTTAGATTTTTTGAAGCACGCTCAATTTTTGAGAAAACTGGGTTTAAATTCACAAAGTAGGTATTTTCATATTAATTTGGGTTTCCTGTTTATAAGAACTATTACGTTTGTGGTATTCCGCTTGATGGTTTACCCGAAATTTAACAAAGCCCAAAAATCAGTTGCTTTGATCCTATTGATCTACATTATTACCAATGTTCTTCCTTGAAAGGATGCAAAAACTTATGCGCGAAATGTCTTGTTGATAACCCGGGTGTTACACAAAATAATGTCAACATTTATGGCTCCTATTATGCATAAGTGTCAAAAATCACGGCTTCAAAGAAGTATAAGACTAAAGCAAGGGCTAAGCAGTAATGTAAACGTTTGAAATATACGGTTTAGATGTGATGTAAAACGAATTTTTAATGTCTTTTTTTTTGGTTTATTTTTTACTACCCCCTCTCGTCTGGTGCGAGCATCGAGTGACAAAAGAAAAAACTTATGATTAGTACCGGATTAATTATAAAAAAAAGTCGTTATGACAGCTATCCATACAAAATAATCAGTTATAAACTTCGTCAAGATAAATAATTTTGTCAATTAATAAAAATAAATTCATTAGATAACCGTTCAAAATACAGCTTTATCGTGTGAAATTTAATGTCTCTTAAATCCTGTAAGTGTGGTTGCACGTTTAATGTGTCTAAGCATCGAATTGAAAACATTTATTCCTTTAAAATACAACGAATTTTGTGAAGCACAGGTCGAGAAATGTGGTGTTCTTATTTCATCCGTGTTTCTAGTATTATATCTATGAAAATCACTTCCCCTTTAAATTCGATCACACAAATATGGAGGCAGCAAACCGTTAACTACTTTAAAAATGAACGCCATAGTCAAATAAACAATTCTTTGCTTCACCGACAAACATTGTAAGGCGTCTAGCATCAAAGTTGAGGAAGTGAAGCTATTACATCTCAAAATCAAACGCATTATTTTATTCTGCAAGCGCTGTAATCTCGATATTTGTGTTTCATTAACTAAAACTAAAATGGAAGGGCAAAAATCTAGATGAGGAGAGATGATTTATTTGTATAGCTGTATTTTACTGGTAATCGTTAAATCGTTTATCAATCGACATAGAAATCCATACTTCTTGGCAATTTTCTTGATGACATTATCAATGTGAGAGTTGAACTTAAGTGTGTCATCAATGATCACGCCAAGATATATGATCACCCGAACGCGATCAATAGCCTCTTATACTCGATTCCGCCAAATTACCATGAATTTAGTTTTACTTATATTCAATATCAATTGCTTTTACATTTTATTCGTCTGCTTAGAGAACGCAAATCTTCATTTAAGTGTAAAACGGCATCATCTAAATCCTTAGCTGCAATGAATAACACAGTATCATCTGCAAACAGATTAATGTCGCAAAATCGTAAAATACGTCGCAAGTCGTTAATATTCATAATAAATAACAGGGGCCCTAAAACACTTCCCTGGGGCACTCCAAGGTTATTCCCCACGGGACTGGATACATAATCATTAAAAACAGTCCAGATGAGTTCTGCACATAAATAGCTTTCAAACCATTTAAATGCAGTACTCGTAATTCCAAAGTGCTTGATTGATCGTAACAATAAGGGACTAGAAACTGTTTCAAAAGCGTGGTTTAGATCCCAAAAAAAAAAAACAGCAACAATCGTACCTTTTCGTTCCAAGTTATCTTTCCAATTAGCTAATAACAAATGCAACGCGGTTTCACAATGATGACCTTTTTGATATCCCGATTGTTCAGGTATCAACAAACTATTACTATTTAAATACTCCAACAGCCGGCCTTTAGCAACGAGTTCTAAAATTTTCTCTAATGTTTGCAACATTTTGATTGACTCATCGGCTTTATACGTTCAAGCATTTTTTTTTTGAATAGTAACCACCAAGGAATCCTACAAAATGTGTAGCACATTGCCCAATGTGTAATGATTTATTAATAAGGTCCCGCAAGATGTGGCCAATGACATGAAAGCAATCTAGATCTTAACATTTTATACTCCAGCCACTTTTCCTAATGATAATCAAATAACTCTAAGTTCATGGGATGAAAACCTTCAAATCTACAACTACTATTAACTGGCTGTTTTATTTCGTCAGCTTCATCGACCAATTCAATGAATTCATTAATCAATGAAACACTGTCGATAAAATTATCGCACAATAGCTTCCAACCAACTCTGAAAATAATCATTAAATTTTGATGCAATTACTTGTTCTGACTGATCTGATGTGCTATTAAAAGTTATGGTAACAGACATTGTATGAGCCTTGGTTCATCTTGTACAACAAATTATCCGGAATCCAGTACGTTTTGGATAACATAGAACATCTGATATACACGATAGTAGGTCATACACGATCCACATATACGCTATATTTTATTAACAGCAGGTTGTCGTAATGTCGTAACTTTTTTTCAGTGACATCAATTGCTTAAATTAATTTTTACGTCATTTAGCTATTTATATGAAACCGGGAAAAAATTTTGAACTCCCGGGAAAAAACCAGGAATTTAATTTAACTTGGTTAATGTCACTGAAACTTACAAAATGAGAATAGTTGGACACACCCAGCCCTATTCAGTTGATTCTGATTCTGATCAATCACGGAGTAGAAACCATTGATAGGTGCAGTCAGTCTAACCTAAGCTATAAGTTTTAAAAATACATTGGATAAAATAAGACCTTTTCCAAATTTAGTCCATATTTTCTTTGTGGATCGTTTGGTTACAAAAAAAAGTATTCAGATGACATACTGACAATCCTCAAGTTAATCTGTATCACATCGACCTCTTTAGTAACGCAAACCCCAAAATACAATTGTGGCATCAAATTTCGGTTCTATAAATAAGCAACCCTTCTGACCCGGACAATGGCCATTGTTTTCACGCAAATTCTTCAAGTCCAGGAAATATATCAGATTGTACGCACGTCTTACATACCCACGAGAGTGAGAGAACGACGAAAACTGCGAGAGTAGGTCGGTCATTGGCATTATCTGGTGGCAAGCATCCATAGCAGTGGTACCCAAAAAGCATAAATTTACGACGACGCTCCCGGCGTCGTCGTCGTCGTCATCACTGTGGCAGCAGCATCCTGCGATCCGTTTTCCTTCCATACTTTCAGCACGTATCCTTCCGTTGTTTCCATCTCAGCTGCTTCCTATGGCGCCGCGCCGTGTTGAGTTCACTCGAGGTCTTTTCCCAACAGTTAAAAAAAAAGATTACGACATCTGATGTAAACGTCGTCGTCGTCGTCGTTTTCGACTACCCCAATCTTGGGTTTTCATTTTTGTCTTTGGCTCGAAGAGAGCGATTGTCTCTTCGTCGTCGTCGTCGTCGTTGGGATGTTCTGATGAAGAGTGTTGTGTAATACTTCTGTACAATCACAGCACCATGAGGACCCAGACAAAGAGACCAAGTTTTAAGCGAAAAAGCACATCGACCAGACGACCGATCGACCGAGAGGAAAACTTTTTTTTCAGTTCTTCTTCGAACGGATGGATGCGGAAAATACAACACTGCTGTAGGAAGATGACACATTGCCAAACGGATAGATATCGTATGTTGTAATAGGTAGATAGTCTTAGAGCAAGACAAAAGATGCTTTTTTTGAGCAACCGTGTAATGTGTTCAATCAACTTTCTGAACGTTGTGTTGCGAACAACTTTCACGTGAGTTGTGCTTTTAATAGTATCCTATAAATCTACAGTAAGACCAGCCAAAATTGATGGCGATTCTTCCAGTAAATCAGAGCTAACGAGGTTTACTCATAAAGAAAAGGAAGCCGTCCGGAACACGTGCCACGTGAATTAAAACTTGAGTGTCTTCTCTATTCCATGAATTTTAATATTTCATGCATACATTAACTCCCTGTGTTCGGGAGCATTGCTCAAAAATAGCACTAATTCTCCCAGTCCTAATCCCCGACGAAAACATTTCGGTTCGATCAACGACGCGACATCCAATACGACGTATTTTGTATTATTCACAAGCAATCAATTTCAAATTCAAAACAAATCTTCCGTACAGGGCAGATCGCTTGTACTGACATGACAA